GTTAGGTTTCTGCTTTGACATCTCTATCTAGGTTTATTACAGTGTATGGAGTATTTAGCTCTGAAAGCAAAGGAAAATCCTGCAGATCCCCTGACTATACCTGATTTCTGCAGTGCCCTGTATGTCAAATCACCTGCTTAAACCATTAATACATGACCAAACTCCCAAAAATCAGTTAACTAATCACAAATTTTAATTTATTATGCTCATCTTCACTTAGGAAGAGGTAAGCAAGCTTCCATCTAACTATAAGAACCGACTGATTCTGGTGAATGTGATTTCATGACGAAATTGAAGATTTGGGGGTTGATTTACTAATACTAATAAGGCAAATAGGTTGTTCACTTTGCAAGGAAATTTCCACTGTGCAAGGATTTTTTCCTTAGGGTAGTTAATGAGGTCAAGCTATGCTGATTTTCATTATCCAATCATATGCAAGCAAAATACTTTTTTTTTTTTCCTTGCACGATTGGATATTCTTTGCAAAGTGAACTTTCACTGTATTCACTAAGATAAGAAACAATTCCCTTTCAACGTGAATAGCCTGTTTGCCTTTAATAAATTAACCCCTTTGTGTTCACCAAAATTTTGTAGAAATGTTCCCTTCATTTCACCAAGGGAGAGAACAAATGTAATAATTTGTTCCCATCATTTTTAACTTTAGGGCCCCATCTGTCGGGTCCCGGTCCGAGCGCGTCAGGTTCCGGTCCGAGTGGCTCCATGTCGGGTTCCGGTCCGATGGACGAACGGTGTCCCAGTTCAAACTACTGTGCGGGAACGCACACGGAGGGGACATCCCGGCAGCACCGCTAGGCCACGCAGGCGTAGACGCCCTGGGATCCGAGTGACGTCATCATGTCAGCGCACGCGCAGTGTACGCCCTCTGCCTATTTAAAGCCCCACAGGACTGAGAATCATTGCTGAGTGATTATCAGCCAGCACCAGTCGTCTAGTGATCTTGCTCTTGTTTAAACCTGTGATCTGGCTTCCTCCCTGACGCTCCCTCTGGATAACCCTTCTGTACCTTGCTGCCTGCATATTACCAACCCGGCTTGCCTCTTGACTCTCCTTTGGATTCTGCATTGTCCTTCGCTGTCTGCATGTTACCGACCCGGCCCGGCTAGACCTCTCCATTGATCCTCGATACCCTGCACGGCTGCCCACTCTGCCAAGCACATCACCTGCTGCCTATACCTGGCATCCGGATCCGGCACCCGTGCACCCCTTGCCTGACACACACTGTCTTCAACCCCAGTGCTCATCAGACAGGGTTGCAAGGGAGGTCCTCCTCATCATCTCGGGCCCACACCTCGGACCTAACACCATCTCTCTCATTTTACATGGCTTTGTTGATGTGACAACCTGCCACTTTGTCTATCAACTCCAAAGAAACACATTTAAGAGGCGCTGGGGTTTCTATGCTCACTCCAAATGCAGGAGAGTTTGCAAATAACCTCACTTGCTCTGGTAAGGCAGCTCCCAAACAAAACAGGTCTCCCTTGTTGGGTACAGGAGCGGCAGATGGCCACCAAACCAAAGGCTGCTGCTACCAATTACAATTGCAGCCCCAAAGATTTTTATATCAAATTATATATAAATCTATTTTATTATAATATCTTCTGAGTCCAAAAACAAAAAGCTTTCCGATCTATTGAGGAGCAGCAACCCTGAGCCGTATACAAATGGAAGTGAGTGACTAGCCACTGACAAGCGCCAGAGGATAGTTGGGAGTCTTCTGAGTCCAATCAAATCCTTATCCCATTCTCAGCTCTGATGAAGGGGAAGTGTTGTTAGCCCCAATATACATTGGCATTTGTTTAATTGGATTGTGAACAATAAAAAGCACTGTTGGACTCCTCCAACTTTTTGGTATGGTGCCATTTATTTCTAAAGATTGACTTTGTCTATCAACACAGCCATGTGATTGCCATGCCAGCACTGTCATTGTGATGACTTGAATTAGTTTACAAAGGGTTAGGGTTCTCATTAGGGTTACAATTAGGGCTATCTCTATGGTTAATCCTAGAGTTGGGGTTACCTTTAGGCTGGATTCAAACCTATAAGTGTTTTCCTGCTTTTTTTTCACTTTGAAAAGGTGCCATGTCATGATCTGACGCGTGCTGCCATTCCCTTCCAAAACTCCTATAACGCACATTCGGATAAAAAAATAGGCCTTGACTTAACTTAAATGGACCCTTAGGGTTAGCAATAAAGTTACAGCTAAATTAAAGGTTTTTGGCCCAAAACAGGTCAAGGATAGTTTAAAGCAGTCTCTACCGACCAGGGTGCCATGGCATACTGGTGTGCCACCTGGCCTCCTCAGGGGTGCCTCACAGTTTTGTGGAAGTGGGACTGACGTGAACGGGCTATGAAGACTGAAACTTTTGTGTGTATTTTTTTGCGTGGGGTCCCCCTTAGAATTTATGACATTTTAAACTGGAGTGCTTTGAGATTTTGCATACTTTTAAAGGGTGACATGAATAAAAAAGGGTTGTTAAACACTGAAAAGCCTTATAACATAACCGTTATAAGGCCTTTAAAGATTTTTGTACTATTAGACTTCAATGACATTTTGATAAAGCAATATGTCCCAATTCTGCTTATTCCTATTTGCTACCAAGGTACCATCTATTTTTGCTGGGCACTGAGAATACTAGTAAAGCATTTCAAAGCTCTGAATGAGTTAACAATAAAGAAAACACCTCATACTGTATTTCCTACATCTCTTTACAGTATTTTTTCTTTTTCCGTATAATGATAAAGTCATTTCAGTAAAAATGGTTTCTTGAAAGCAGCTTCGCACAAGTTGTAAAATAAATAGCAAAAAAATAATAATATTTGAAAATTAGATTAAATTTACTTGAACATATTTTATTTCCTTGTCAAACAACTCATGCTATGTAATTGAAACATTTCAAAGTTTTATGGCCTGCTTGCAAATATTTGATATGAAGGGTTTTTTCCATTAGCTTCATACATATGGAAATTAGGACATCCATTCTGAGTCAGCTAATTGTTGTTTCAAGGTGACATGTAAGAGTTCGCAGTAAAACATGAAAGTGTGTTATTTTCTTCCATTTTGTGAAATGTCTATTAATAAATAATCTCGACTTCCAGGGCTGTTTCGGGATGAAGCGAATGTTCCATTTACATTCTGATTGCTATATTAATAATTCTCTGTCATAAAAAAAGTGAGTGGTACATTATTTAGGAGACATTTATAAGGTTAGGTAAACGCCCATAAACATTAAAGGCTATTTTTATGGGCTGGATCTATTTTATCATCTGAAATAGAAAGTAATTTAGTTTTTACTAGTGGGTAAAAATATACGGTAACTACATAACTTCAATATATAGCAGCCAGGGGAGGAGCGAAGGGAAATACTATACAGTGTCATTTGAGTGAGTGTTATTTGTTATCAGTGTTATTTGAGTCTTCTGGGGCTGATGGCATCACATCCAAGATAGTAGTGCTCAGCAGCATTCTCAGGGCTTTTGGATATCTACTCAAGGAAGAAATTTACAAGTAAATGTCTAAAATATGGTTTATCCACATACAGTATAATCTAATAGGATGATGTTTGTTGAAATTAATGATCTGGAAAAAGGGTCTCTGTAAATGCTGTGCACCCCTGAATTTATTAACTTTACCTTTGTTCCCCCACTGAACACAATGAGTGGCAGTGACTTAGAGCTAAGGACCTGGACTTCTTGGATGGAAGAACATGTCACTCATTCACATTTCTATTGGTATGCAGCTCTGGGTGCCTGAGTAGCCAACTGCAAGGCACCAGATCTTTCACACGGGGGGCATGTCGAGACGCCTTTGACCTGAGTAAAGGCCAACTATAGTGACCTGGAGCTTTTATAGGGCTTCTTCTCTTTGCTCTCGCTGCTAAACAGAGTGGTGAGGGCAGAGGCTTCCCTAGCCTTTTTGCCCTGAGGCCGGGGGTTTATTGGTGCATGCTAACCCAGGGGGGTATGTCTATGCATCCTCCCCCCACCCAGGAGCTGGGCGGGATGCTAGCCAAAGCGTCACACTCATCTCTTGGCAACCAGTGAAGCCACTGATTGCCAGGAACTGAGCAGGATGCAAGCCAGAGTGTCCCGCTCAACTCCTGGCAACCGGTGACATCATTGGTTGCCAGGAGCTGAGTGGGAAACTAGCCAGAGCTTTCAAGGTTGCTAAGAGCTGGGTGGGGCTCAGCAATCTTGGATGCTCTGGCTGGAAAAGGGGGCGGCAGGCACACTGCACACATTGTGCAGTGCCACCCACTAATGTGACCCAAAGTGATGCTGCCTGAGACGGCCCTGGATAGGGTGTGCAAAACAGGGGAATATAATCCACTAGAATCCTAGCCCAGGTACACGGACTAAGCACAAATATTTTTATCATTCTTTATATCATTCTTTGGTAGTCTTTTAGATAGGGAATTGTACACCATGGCATGAATTGATTGTTATTTCTTATATAATATAACTATGCTGTATATTAAGTTGATAACACAGGAGAATGGATATTGCTTGGTTGAATTAGAACTATGGCCTCACATTACAAAATTATGTGCTGCAGCAAAGTCCCCTGCCCCTCCAAAGTCCTACAAACACCAACTGATCCTGCCAGTGACACCCACCTAATGCAGCTTCCTGTGGCGGTGTGGCAATGACGCTGTAATGTTGCTGTAATCCTAATTCAGAGCAGAGTTGCCACTCTCATATAGGCTGTGCCTACTTGCACTGAAGTGAGATGAAAAATTGTTGCAGGGAATTTTCTGGAATTACAGCACTTCCTCTGTTGCTGAACCCCTCCCTCCGTGAGCTGCAGTGTCTAGAAGGGGGAGAATGTGAGACACTAATGGAGGAGGATTTGGCTCAGTCAGGGAGGGTTATGAAAGTTTTTTGTTTACTTTGTGAGACTTGTGCGTCACACAATAACTGGTTTTGGTACTTGTTTGAGTATTGTATATGTATTGTATAATATTGGTTTATGTATTTTATAGAGCAAGCATTGTGCAAAAGAAAATCATCTACTTCCAGGATGAGGGATCACTTACCAAAAGAATGTGTGAGCCAGGTGAGATTATCTTCATAGCCTTGAAGGGAGAGTCTAGCTTCAGTGAGCTCATATTTTAAGTGATTGCAGTGATTAACTTTGTTTGCAGTGACTCTTTCAAAAAAACATTTTAAACATTTTAAACTATAAATATAATAAAACCTTTTTATTATATTTAATTTGTATTGAATGCTTGCATTTGACAATGGCTTTGACTAGGGCATTCCATAGCATCCAGGGGAAACATCCTTAAAAAATGTATATCATGACCATCAACAAATACTTTCAATGTGCTCAGCATATATTTAAGTCAACTGTTTAAATAGTGAGCATGAATGTTTTATATTACCATTGTATGTATGACTTACAAAGCTCTGAATAAAGACAGCGAAAGGGGCTGAGTAGTAGTACCATTTGACAGGGATGTAGAAGTAGAAAACAATATTTAGCATGTATTACATTGTACATTGTGTACTTTTCTCAGATTCCACATCTGAAGGAGGAAATGAGAAGGCATTGCCCGAGTGTTGTGCTTGTGGAACAGCTAAATACAGGTTAACTTTCTATGGAAATTGGTCAGAGAAGTCACACGCCAAGGACTACCCAAGTAAGTCTACTTTTAGCCTTAAACTTTTTACATATCTAACCCCAAGAACAAAAATGTTATATGCTACAGCTCACCGGACCTTTAATGTAGTGGCTGCATTATTTTTCTCCTTTTCAGGCTTTTTTTTCTTTATTTTCACCTAGTGATTCTGGTGGTCACATATTCCCTGTCCTGGGGCGACAATGCTCACTTATCATATTGTAACGGTGCAGGGCCGGTGCTAGGATTCTTGCCTACACAGGCAAGGTGCATTTTTGCGCCCCCCTCCCCGACACCGACCCCCTGTAACAACAGGGCATTTTGACAAGTACTTGTCAAAATACCAAGATGTTTGCGCTATGGATTTTTTTTCTCACTTACCTTCGGCGCGGGAGAGCAGCGGCGAGTCAGCGCTGGTCCGGTGGGAGGAGCTCCAGGTGGGGTCCTAATTTAGCTGGCCGGTGACTGCCTGAGGTGCCGCACGTGTCGGGATCCTCTGGCAGTCGCCGGCCAGCTAAATTAGGACCCCACCTGGAGCTCCTCCCACTGGACCAGCGCTGACTCGCCGCTGCTCTCCCGCACCGAAGGTAAGTGAAAAAAAACAAAAAACATAGCACAAACATCGGGGCATTTTGACAAGTACAAGTACTTGTCAAAATGCCCTGTTTTTCCTCCCTCACCCTGCAGCGCCCTCAGGCGGCCGCCTGACTTGCCTTGCGGTAGCGCCGCGCCTGTATCTGTGAAGAAGTTGCTTTCTCACCCCAGACTGCTCTCCTGATTTGGACTACAAACATCTCCCCCTCTCCTCTTCACATGAGACAGTTGAGGAAGCTGATAACATTGTTTGATATTCCAGTCCAGTGCACAGGAAGGTACTAGAATGCTGGATTTCTGGTACTTTGCCTGAAAAAAAAAGCTGATGCAGCTACCACAGGACTCGTAAGGTGGTTAGATACACTTTTGATTACTAATCAGATATGCACCATGTCCAACCATTTCTCAAAATAGCTGAAAGAACAAGAGTTCTACATTGTAATTATCCACAGGAACCAAATAAATCTACTTGTTTACTTTCCTTTGCAGTAAATGAAAATTAAAGTGAGAATCTTATTGGTTAGCATGGATTATAACAAAGGTGCATAAACCCAAAACCAATTTTTCAGTGCATGCCTCACTGTATACAATCTTTTAAGCAAACATGTTTTGCTGAATATGTTACAACATTTCTAATTTCTCATCCTGCCAGTAACAGCACTTCCTGTTTCAGGCAGACACCGCTTTTCCACTGTGTCACAATTTGCAGCAGCATTGTCAGCCTGCTGTGTGGGTTTCTTTAGTTGCCCATTGGGCTACCTATCATTTCTGCAGGAGACATGATAGGTAGCCCAATGGGCAACTGAAAAAACCCACACAGCTTGCTGACAATGCTGCTGCTAATTGTGAGACAGTGGATAAGTGTTGTCAGCCTGAAACAGCCAACGAAGTGCACAAAGCTAGACAACAATACCACTGCTAATAGCTAAACACGGGCTTGGCTGTGTCAACCTGCAACAGGGAGTGCTATTACTGGTTGGATCTGCAGGTAAGAATCTGCAACATAAATCTGTACACTGTACAGTGAAGCATGATGCCAAACATGCTAAAAAAATTGATTTTGGGTTTACATACACTTCAATGCACTGTGGTTAGTTTTGTTATATTATTTCAATTACTTAAGATGCAGGGCTGTGCGGTCAGGGGAGGCAGGGCCTCACCTAGTATTATGGAGGAAAAAGCTGTCAGCTTCAAGTGTGAAGTTGACATCTTTTTCTCCATTCAGAGCGGCTTGTAACAAGTTACACAGCAGGGAATCCTCCCCTCTGTGTAACCTGTCATGGATGGAGCGCTGCCTGTTAATTACCGGCGGCGTGGCATGAGGCTTTTGACAGCTCAGTTAGGTTACACAGCAGCAGGCTTCCCAGCTGCTTGTGTAACCTAACATAGTGAGGCAAGAGCTGTCACAGCCTCTACTCTGTGTTAGGGGCTTAAGCTCTGTAGATGGCTTGGACCAATAGCAAAGCGCCATTGATCCAAGCTGTCAATCAAAAAATAGAAAAAAAAAACAGTGAGGACATCGAACTCGATGCCTCACTAGTGATGAGCAAGTAAGTCCCTTCTCGGTCCTCCCTTCCTCCTCCACACAGCTCCGTGACCGGGTTAGAGGCGGGGCAGATGTGGGTTGGGGTTTGGCCATGGGTGGGGCGGAGGCGGGCAGGGGGAAATGCCTCACCGAGAATGGACTCCACTGCACGTCACTGTTATAATGTGATGTGTTCTAATGTAATACATTATAAATTGCCTGCTGAAAATGAGAAAACATAAAATAACACTAGTTCTTTACCTGACATCTTCTGATAGTTGTTTTCATGTAATTAATTCCACTCCCAGAAATAGCTAGATAGACAGATGTGCATAGAGTGCATAGATAGATGAAGCTAATAATAATTTGCTAAATAGGAAAAATGTTGTCTAGAATCCCAGTTAATTTTAGCATGGATGGTATGAGGCAATCTTATGCATCGGATGTTTTTCCATTCCTAGCTTTATCTATGTTTGCCCCCAAGAACTATTTTAATTTTTATGTAAAAATCTATAAGTAATAATCTGTTTGAATTCTCTCTCTGTTCAGAAAAGCATTAAACAAAATAAGACATAAAAAGGAAAGGGGTAGGTATAGCTGTGATCACATGTATGAAAATTATGGTTTCAGACTTCATGCAAAGTTTGGAAACAAATTGGGAATGCTCAGCGTATTAGATTAGGCAGCAACAGAAAACTGGCAATTGAGTTGAAGTATACCTATAATCAACAGGTTTACTTTAAATCTGAACTACATATCCCCCCACCCCCACTCCTTTAACTAATATCTCATTTAAAAAAAATCTAAATGCTTCTTCTAAATATTTACTGAAATTCATGGTCACACAACACTTAAGTCCAGAGTCTTCTCTCCATTTCTGTGTATATGAGGTGTGTTCTTTCTTTGGGTTTCTGTGTCACTGCTAATGTGATATAGATGTGATGTTTGCTAATGTGATATAGACACTTCCTATTGGATGTCCAGCAGTGATGTCATACCAGGATCCAAACACGTAACACGTCTACATCAATGGATTACTGGTCTCCCACACCCGGAGAAGCACCAGTATGGGATTCCGATAGCAGACTTAAGTGAATGACACGTGTTGTAGAAGGGGAAAAAAAAGTGCTGAATGAGTAAGAGAGGGATGGAAGGGAATTAATTTGGCTTTGGATTTTAGAGCCCAGAGATGGGCTCTAAACCCAAGAACAAAAATGTAATATATTACAACTTACCAAATTAGAACTAAAGCCAACACTGTTTTTTTTTTTTTTAATTAAATAGCATAAGTGAGAGATAACCCTGTCAGCTTTTTTGTTTCCCCCTGCATCCTATTTGCAAGCTTTCCCTTTACTTCCTATCCAACAACCATATCAGGGAGTGAGAAGAAATTCCTCAAAAATTAGGAAATACTTGGGGGTCAGCAGGGTCACCAGAACTAGTGCATCTAGTTAGAAGATTTCCTATCAAGTCCTGTTTTGGTGACAACCCAAAATCTGACGGGGGTTCTAATCCCTCTCTACTCTATTCAAAGCTAAACAATAAGTTTTGCCTTCAGTTGCACTTTAAATGTGGTGGCTACATTGTGGCTGCATTTTCTTTTCTCAAGCTTTGTTTCTTCTTTTCTTTTCACCTGGCGATCCTACCAGTAACACACTTCATGTACTAGGGTGACGTTCAGTCAAGCAGGTCTGATAACTTTGTTTTGAGATTTCAGTACAGCATTGTCAAGTCATTGTAGGAAGTCAGGAGTTCACTGAATTTCTTGCATGGTCAACATTTAGCAAACAGATATAACAAAATACTTCAATGGTATATTTACCCAAAGGAACCGAATAACAGAAATTCATTGTTAGGATTCTCATACATCTTTAAGTCAATAAAGCAAAAACATGGCAAGCTCCTGTGGTCTACATGATGTTCTGCAGGCTTTTAGAGAAATGGTAGATTCCAACTATTTTCATATCAGATAAAAGATTTGCCATTTCCTGAGTAGGAAATTAGAATACAGTTTCTGTGCAATCTTTGTTTTTAAATAAATGCTGAATCTCCACAAGGCATGTTGCAGAACAAACAAAACTCCTGTATGATGTATACTTCAGTGCTGCAAAAATCATCCCAGTGGGTCATCTGTCAGCCAAGGGCGCTGTTCATTGAAATGTCTGTCCGTGTAATTACTTCAACTGTTTTCCCCCTTTCTAAAATATGATTCATTGTTGCCTATAAAAGATTTGACCTTCCATTCCTAGGAAGGCAAAGGGAACTCTTTAATGAAACGTCTTATCTATATACTTCAATAGCGGATGACAGAATCATTTTCTTGTACATATTTTTATTGGCCTTTTCTATCAAATCGCCAATTACATACAGACCCTATATATAAAAAAATCTACCATCAGGAACACGCTGGAAATGCTTTTTTTATTAAAGGAATTTATTTAAAAGTATGATAAAGGTTTTGACAATAAAAGTACATTAAGCTGTCAAAGACAATATTGTGAAAAAAGCATGATGTAATAATCTTACATTCACGGGCATTGTGAGATGGCAGAAGATAATCATTTGTTGCTTTTTATTGCAACAGTGGGTTTGTTTATTTGTTTTTTATTTTATTTTATTGCTGGTATATCCATCACATAAACAATTAGAATATTAAAATATGTAATCTTAAAACCCATGCGATGGCAAGGGTGAGGGTATTGATGAACCCCTTGGGGGAAAAAAAAAAAAAAACACTGAAAAAACAGCAAAGGAATGATGTGAGAGAGGGGGTAAAATTATGAAAGAGCCACCGTTCACATAAGGTGGATAAATCATAATCTATATGGCAAATTATATCTATGACCGCCCATATCAACTCCCAGATGGTCCCTGTTTGGATGAGGAACTCCTCCCCCCTTTT